AATCTCATAATCAATATGTGACGTTCGTTGTTTTGTCGATCAGTTTATTTGCCGCCATTTTTTTTTTTTTTGCTGCAATTTCTCAGGAAAATATTGACTATTTTCTTTTGCATTATAAAGTTAAAAAGCTTGGAACACGTTGCCAGCGAAAGATAACAAAATTAACAAAAAGAATTAATTCTCTATAACACTATAATACCGACGCTATCCGCCAGTGACAATTTCTAGCTAGATGATACCATCGATAAAATAAATAAAATATACGGTATTACGTAATACCAGAAAAAGTCAGTAAATCTATCTTCATAGAGACATCAAAAACTCAACCGCAAATGCCTGTAAACTACACCGAATAATTAGTTTGATGAGCCAGATAAAGAAGGCAGTAATTAGAAATTTTAATGAATAGAGCACATAGCAGACTTAAACCGGTAACATTATCGCAGCTCTATAATTTTCGCCGATCGTAATAAACGGCTGTTCTCTCACGAAGGCGCCGTGCCCTGAACGCTTATTGGGACATAAGCACAATCTAGGGCACAAGTGGAATTCGTATATATCAGGTCATCCCATAAGTTCTGTCCGAATTTTAACTTTTTGTTAAAATGAACGAAATTTAAAGAGTATTTTATAATGCCTAATGGCGCTGAACATTATTTTTATGTTTAGATGCATTTAAACTGATCAAATTTTATTTCAGAGAAGAATAAAATAAAATTTTGTTTGGTTAAAACCCTGCTAACATGGAAGTACCCAGGAATCATTTGAGGTACATAATGCTTTATGAGTTCAAGAAAGGAAACTCAGCATCCGAAGCAGCTAGAAACATTCACTCAGTTTATGGAGAGGAATGTTGGAATGAAAGAACTTGCAGAAGATGGTTTGCAAAATTCAGAGGTGGAGATTTCACCCTTGAAGATGAAGATCGAACCGACGTCCAGTTGAGTTTGATGAAAAGCTTCTTGAAGCAGCCCTTAAAGAAAATCCTGCTTTATCAGTTGAGGAATTGGCAGTGGTTCTCAGTTCAAACCATACAACTGTTCATTGTCATCTTCAACAACTTGAAAAAGTTCCTAAACTTGAAAAATTTGGGTGCCTCATGAATTGTCTGAAAACAATCTCAAATCCCGAGTTGACATCTTCTCTTCTCTCTATTCTTGCCAACTTGTTTCAACTTTTTTGGATAGACTTGCGACTGGCGACGAAAAATGGATCTTTTATCGAAATGTTAAGCATCGTAGACAGCGGCTTGGTAAAGAGGAAGGACCCCAGCCACAGCCAAGAAGGGAACTTCATGGGCAAAAGATTCTTTTTTCAATCTGGTGGGATCGCCAAGGAATAATCCACTTTGAATTCTTACCACCTAATGCAACAATTAATGCTCAAATATACTGTCAGCAATTAGAGCGTTTGAACCAAGCTTTGAGGGGAAAAGACCTGCTCTCGTGAATCGAAAAGAGATGATGTTTCATCAGGACAATGCGCGACCCCACACAGCAAGAATCACGTCACACTAGATCGAAGAACCTAGTTGCGAGAAAATTCCTCATCCACCTTATTCCCCCGATCTTGCCCCATCAGACTACCATTTGTTTCGTAGCTTACAGAATCATTTGGAAGAAACAGCTTTTGTAACACAAGAAGAAGTTAAAACTGACATTTGTGAGTTCTTTGAATCAAAGCCAAAAGAATTTTACAGTAATGGAATTAGTAAGCTTGTTAATAGATGGAAGGAAGTCATAGATAATCAGGGAAAATACATTGTTGATTGAATCTGTAATAAAATGTAACATTTGGTCACTTGTTTTCTATTCAAAATTCAAACAGAACTTATGGGATGACCTGATACTATCCATAGCTAAAGATGCTATAAGAAATTATTGGCTTGCTGTGTATATATAGCTGGCCACTCGTATTTGAGGATACACGTCTACTAGGACAGCTAGTCAATCCCTATTGCAGACGCTTGCTAAGGCGCATTTGTGTTTATTCAACACCCACAGAGCCCACCTGTGATTTATATTGCAACTATGCTGAGCAGACCTTAGTTATAGTTTCTGGGAAAGAGCTTGCTATCTAGTGCGATCAACAATTTGAAAAAAGCCCGGTCACGATGACTTGTGACTTCTTGCTATCGACGGCATCCTCGGGTTCCGTCTACCCAATTTCACTCACAAGGCTTGGGTCAACCCATGGTATTGTTTTCAGGCACTTTCCAAAGGTGCCGCGCGCTGGGATCGACCCCTCCAGTCCGATAACATCAGGAAGTCTCTTTCCTGAAAAATCGCCCTTGGTGAGATTTGAACCCGTGGTCAGAATGCAAACGTTCTAACCACACGGCCACGTGCCCATGGCTTCCTGTATCGCTCCAGCAAGTACCCAACTCCTGTTATCCTCTACCTTTATAAGAGCAAGTTCAGGCCGCAAATGGAATTCGGTCGCCATATACGGACAGGAGCTGCCCTGTTTTAACTTTTCAAACTCGTCAGAGTCTAAAAGCGTTTCCGCTTTCTTTTGGGTCACAAGTTATTTTCCACCTCACAGCCTCTTTCCCCACAGACGAAACATTGCAAACCTGTCGCTGCCATATCGATATTTCCATGGAAAGTATTCAGAAGAATTACATTCCTTAGTTCCACCACTTCTAACCTTCACGTCTAAGAACTACCATTGCACGCACATTGAAGCGAACCAACCTCATTCCCTTCATCTTCCATTGGTGAAATGTAAGTTCCACTCGAGCAGTTTATACCCTTGAACCGCTACATTGTGAAGCAGACTTCAAAGAGAATGCTTCTCGATCCTTACACTCTTACCCAATCCAAGTCTAAGGTTACCTGTTGTCTTTCCCACATATCCCTAACCTATTACTTTTCAACCCTCAACTTTGAATGGCCTTGTACAAGGTGAAAATCACTGTAAAAAAAGTGAAAGAAGCGTAGTTTTGTTAAAGTCACTGGAGCAAGAAATGAGATATTTATGATTAGTAAGTTATTATAGCAAACGACAAAATGTAGAATGATCTATAGCTATCTCAAATATTACACGAACATTATATAAGACGTGAATCAATGACTTTTTTTTTACTATTATTCACCGAATACAAGTCTCAAGATATACTAAAGCTAGACGTTTATGGCAATAGCCTGATCGGGAAATTGTCGACTTAAACCTAACTCTGTGTGAAGAAATTGGTGGCTTAAACGTAACACTTTGTGTAGAAATTGGTGACTTAAACCTAAAAGTACGAGGAGAGCTTCGGGTTTATACCTAACTTTACGTAGAGAATTCGGGGACTTAAACCTATGTTTGAAGAAATTGAGGACTTAAATGTAACTCTGTGTGAAGAACTTGGCGATATAAATTGGGGACTTAAACTAACTCTGTGTTAAGAAATTGGGGACTTATATTTAACTCTGTGAAGAACTTGAAGACTTAATCCTAACTCTGTGTGAAGTTGGCGACTTTAACCAAACTCTGTGTAAGGAACTTGGAGACTTAAATCGAATTCTGTGTGGAGAATTTAGAATCTTACGCCTAACCTGCCGGCTGAAAATAAGAACTAGATGTCCTAGACATGGGCAGTGCAACACGAAAAACCTAACACCGTAGGATAAAATAAAGCGTTCATTTCCAGATTTTTTGTATGTTACCCGGATCGACATGCGTCTGATGAAGTCTGGATTGATACAATGACCGAAACGTTGTGACAGCATCAACTAAGATTAGGACAATTGTCATAATATTAGTAATTGTTATCACAACGTTTTCGGCCACTGTAAATAATGATAAATCTTCTTTCCAGAAATCTCCACAATGATGTTTTAAGGAAAATGAGAATAAAAAGGACGCCTATAGATAGAGAATCAGAAAGAGAATGTCGAAATATCTGGGGAGCATTATGTGGAAATATGGCTTGGAGAAATTGACACTCACAGGACATATGAAAATGAAGGAGAAGCAGTGACAAAAAGCAAATACATATGCAGTTAATTGAATGGATGACAGAAACACGGATAAAGTGAAAGGTTATTAAAAGAAACAAAACATATGATGTTGTAGGAAGCCATAATTGAAAGAACAGAACACATGTGAGAAATAAGTTGTTTTTTTCTTTTTTTTTTTGAAAATGTCTGTGATTTCTGATTTCGAGTCAACGTGTTTTTCGTTGGAACGAAAAGATTTCCACATTGCAATCAACAGTAAAATATATCAGAATATATATATATATATATGAAAAAAATGAACTCTTAATTCTGTTGACTGCAGACCTTTATTTTAATGAAAAGACAATAGAAAAAGGATGAAAGAATGAAAAGAATGTGTTTAAATTGTTATTGGCTGTTCGCCCAAAATTAAAAGTTGATTGTTTTTTTTTGTCCTCTTTTAAGAGAAATAGTAGAATTAATGACAACCTTCGGGACAATATATGTGCACACAAATCCACACACGGAAACACAAATACACGTATATAAAAACGGGAGAATATGTTATATGTACCATTTATACTCGGATTAATGAATCGGAGAGCCGAGTTCGAATTCCACTCGAATCTATTAAATTCACTTATGTGCTATTAAACTTGGGAAAGGTATGAATCCTCTTCTTCCCCATATATATATATATATATATATATATATATATATATAAAGTGACATAGTCTGTTTCATGCTATATGCAATCGTCAGGCCACCATATAGCATGAAACAGACTGTCGCCTCTAAGTGTTGACTTATATGTTCACTTTTATATTTATATTTACACACGCTCTATCTCTGATATTGAGCACTTTATCCCATAAATATAGCACACCTTAAGACTATATTTCTTTATATATATATATATATATATATATGCATACGCTCCAACTCTGATATTGAGCAGTTCATCCCGTACATATAGCACACCTTAAAACTATATTTTTTCATATATAAATATATATATATATATATATGTGTGTGTGTGTGTGTGTGTCTGTGTGTGCGCGCGTAAAGAGAGACAGGGAGAGATAGATAGATAGATAGATAGATAGATAGATAGATAGATAGATAGATAGATAGATAGATATGAATAGAATGAGATAGGTAGGTACATAGGTATGAATAGATTAATATAGGTATATATTGATAGATATGAATGAAATGAGATAGATATGAATGAGATAGATAGATAGATAAAAGAAATTGAATGTGATTGACAGAAGTCTTTTGGGTTTTTTTTTAATTTATTTCCCATTTCACTTTTTTGCACTTTCCTCTTTCTTTTCTCTACTTCCTTCTTTTTTCTTTTATCTTGTTTTATCTTTTCCTTTACCTTTTATTTTACTATGTTTTCCTTAGTTCACTTCCTGTTCTTTCATTCATCTTTTTTTGTTGCTTTTTTCGCTTTTAATATTTATTTTCAATATTTTACTTTTTTATTTTTTTCCCGTTTCAATTTTTCCTTTTTTCCACTTTTCCTATTCCTTCTATTCAGTCTACTGCGTTTTCCTTTTAATATTTTCAAACATGTTTACCCCACCATTCCTTTCTATAAGTTCACTCAATTTGCTTTCTCCTTCCACTAAAAAAAGCATATCTTTGTCCAATACGAAATACTTTGACACAAAACTTAAATCCTTGCAACGAGAAGAAAATTGAAACCAGTTATTTAATGAAAATTTACGACGTGCTTTTCATTTTATTTTTTTATTTATTAAGATTTCTGTGTCATAAAAAATGAAATAAAAAAACTGTTCAATTTGTTTTTATCCTTTTTTTTTTAAATAATAAAACGGTTGCTTCGTCTTTTTTTTTTTTATTTTCGCCTAATGACGGTTACATTTGTTTTGATGAGGAATTGTTTTGCTCAGTAATCTTCCATAATATTTTCTCCGGTTCCTCTTTGGAACCGTTTCCTCTTTTAGAAATTTCTTGCTTTTGTTATTTCTGCAAAGACTTTTTAAAAAGTTCTTTATATTCCTTACATATCCAATTTGAATATTTCTTCTTTTCACTCTTATTTCCTATTTAAACGTTGTTTTATTTTATTTTAATTTTTCTTGACATTATAGTGATTGTTATGTTTTTCACATACACTCGAAGTCATTTTATTCGCCTACGATTGGCTAATAAATTACTACTACTTTTGTATAGGACAATTTAACCATCGCAGTCGTTCCTTTGAATCTTTTGGTTCTGAGCATAGTTACCTATTCTGTTTAGTACGAGTGTAGTGATTGGTTAATTTTTAATCATTTATTTTTACTTGTACGATCAAGTTTTCCCGCGGTTCCGTGGGAGCCTACCTTTTTTCCTTAAATAGAGCGATTTCTTGCAAGTTGCCAGTAAGATTCTGTAAGATGCCAGTCGTCAACACAAATCCACGATCTTGCTCAACGCGCATACAGACTTTTCCTAACTACAAACTACATTTTCTCTATGTAACTTTCGCCAAGCACAATTTATCAGAACTTTGTTGATTCAAACTAGTTTATTCACAACACATTTCAAGCAATTGTATTCTTCGGGTTATTCCTTCTTCACATGCAAACTTTGCTCTAACAATTATTTCGGAACATTTATCTCACAAGAGAATTTTCTTCAAACAGTTGATTATAATCAATCTACAGACAAAGGGAAAGAACTTCCTTCTCTTTAATCTACATTGTGAACACCATTTTATTTCATGTTTATTGTTGTCTTTTGTTCAATATATATTTGTTAGTTAACAAATTGGAGTTGTTGTTATTATTAATTGTATCCTGTACGTGGAAGTGTCATTAATATAAATAGTAGTAGTAGTACCTATATATATTTGGTACCCCGCTACAACATAATTGAATCTAACTTCCTTCATAAATCCCCTTATTGGAATATTAACAGTAATATTATCCAATTCTCTATAAGGAAACATCGAACATATATTGACCGATCAGTTAGTTCTACTTGTGTTCTGCTTATCTTCACTCCCTGGCCAATGGGATTGAAAGTGTAGTATCTGTTCTCCTAATCTCTAATGCTAATGCGTTTAAGGTTATATCACGTTGAAACACCGGTTCACGTATGATCATCAAAGTTAAGCAACGTCAATCCTGGTCAGTACTTAGATTGGTGACCGCTTGAAAATACAAGTTGCTGTCGCTTGGATGTTCGGGGGGTGCAATGAATAATGGCTCGGAATTGTTAATCTGAAAGCCGAGTTCTAATTCCAGTTGGCTTCGTTATATTCACAGACGCGCAACGGTATTAATCTACCTCTTCTCCCACAATTAATCATTTAGACTTCTATCACTAGATTATTTTAACCCTTGCCCCGCCAATTATTTTTCGAAAAAACGATTCATTTTCAGACGTTTTTTATTTGTTTTTAATATAGTAACTAAGAAAGCGAGGTACCTGGAAGTAACATCATACGTATGACTATTTACATTATTTGGACTATTGTCCTCATCTTTGTCGCCATTGTACGCTCCGGCCTTCTTCAGGTGGTTGGAATGTCGAACTGAACCATTTATTTCGCTCACTGGGGTCGACTGTTCTAGTTCTACATGCCATGTCTAATGGGATGTCAGTTATCAGTTATCTCTTGATAATTCCCCTCTCCAAGTTCTCCACCACCTTAACCAGGTATTGAACTCATACTCTTTGGGTCCTGTCAGTGGATTTAACTAAAGTCTATATCCACTGTGCCATGTGTCCTTGAGAATATCTGCGTATGAATTTCTCGGTATTATAAACTTAATATCATCAGTAACCGTTTTTTACCAGTGCTCATATTGCAATTTTTTGCAGTTATCAGTGCATATATTGCAATTTTTATTGTTATTATCTCTTTTCTCTGGCACTCCTTATTACTGGTTCCCATATTGTATTCCTTTCTATGCTTGGTCGGCTCAGAAGATTTTTGTGGCCTAGCATATGTGCTGATTCCTTAAGTTTACGAATTTTCCAATCTTGTTCTTTGTCTATGATGTCAACCTGATCCCACAGTGGGCGATGATCTTTTTTTTTCCCCACATATGGGATCAGCCACGTCTGATTTTTCCACTTCCCCTCAGCTTTCTGGGGTTCTTGAAGCCTTACCTTAAGGGGGAAGCCCGTCTCCCCTTTATATTTCTTTCTGCAGCTGCACGGGATGGTGTACACACAGTTTTCAGTCATGTTCTCCTCTATGGGGGGTCTTACTTGGGAGAGATGTCTGTGAAGTCTCATCCAGATTTTGAAGGTTGTCCTGATGTTATATGGACCGCAGATCCTTTGTATTTTCTCATCACATAAGACAAGCAGACTGTTTTCTGTTGTTGTTGTACCCGCCTATCCCAATTTTTGGGGGTTGATGCCATGTACCCAGAGTAGTTGTTACGTTGTAGGGTACTACTTATACTGACCAGTTCTTTATCTAACGTCTCTGGGTCGCCACTTATGACTTTTTCTCGGTGTTGTAAACAGCGGACGATCCCTTACTTTCCGATGTATGGATGGTGGGTGTTGAAATTCAGGTACTGTCCGGTAAATATCGGTTTACGGTATACGGATGTCTTGAACCCATGCTCTGTTCGAGATATTAGTACATCCAGGAATGGGAGTGTGTTGTTACTTTCTTTCTCAATAGTGAACTGTATCGATGGTCTTATTGAGTTCACATGGTCCAGTAGAATCTGACCCTATTCCTGATGTGGCCAGAGTATTAAGGTGTCATCTACGTATCTTAACCTAGTGTTGGCTTTAGAGATATAGATTCTAATGCCATTTCCTCAAAGTATTCCATGTATACATTCGCCATTGATGGTGATAAAACATATAAAGGGGAGACGGATAATAATAACAACAAAAAATGCAATATGACCTCTGGTAAAAAAAAAATGCAATGATAACAGCAAAAACTTGCAATAGGAGCACTGGTAAATAATGGTTGCTGATGATATTAGGTTTATAATACGCTGAAATTCACACACAGTTGTCCTCAAGGGCACATGGCACTGTGGATAAAGGCGTTGGTTAGGTACAGTGACAGGACCCAAAGAGTGTGAGTTCAATACCCGGTTAAAGAAGTAGAGAACATGTAGAGGGAAATTAACACGAGACATCCATTAAACATGGCACGTAAAACTAGAACAGTCTACCCCAAGTGAGAGAAATAAAGTGTTAAGTTCGACATTCCAACCACCTGAAGAAGGCCGGAGCGTACAACAGCCGAAACGTTGTAATAAATATGGCGAAAAGATGAGGACAATAGTCCGAATAATGTAAATAGTTTACATAATACCTCATACGTATAGTTGTAAATAGTTTACATAATACCGCATACGTATAGTTGTTTCAATTCAGAAGGTTATAAAAAGAATCATGATGAGCTTATAAATACGTACGTAATTCGTCAGTGTAAATACGTATATACACGGCGAAGTGGTTAAATAACCTGTAATTGCTCGATAAGCCACAGAAAACGAATGAATTTAATGTGAATGGTAATATTAGTCGTTTCCTGATAAGGAAACATTCGGAATTCATTGATCGATCATCCATTACAACTGTTTAGGTGACATAGACTTCCGTTCTCTAGCGGATGTGAGATGTTTTTCGTATTTAGGGTGTGCTTTCTTACTTGTTGTCGTTATCTGAATGATCGTTTCAGCTTTTGCATTTAATCCTGGATGAATTTTATCTGCTTAAAGGATGTTTCTGCCACATTTTATGAATGGGTGGGGGTATTACTAACAGATCTTTATTTAGTTGTGTAAATCGTTGTTTTGTAATCACTAATAAATATTCATTTGTGTCAAAATTTTAAAAGTTATCTCCATCCCCTAACTAAACAGATTGTAAATATGGGGACTATTTACGACTTTACAGAAAAATTATGGTACTATGAGTGATTGTAGTTGTTGTATACCTCTACTTTTCTGGGGAAGTCTTTTGATTGACGGAGTCGATTCCAAAACAAAGCTTTCTCGGCCGTCTTCTACTGGTCGGGTGTCGAAATGTTTCTGGAATACGGAGGTGAAAGAGACATCAACAAAGGTAATTTTAAATGTATCTATTTTATTAAACACGTCGATGTATACATAACTAGCCAGTGGGGTCGCTCTAACACCTCCATCCCCCCGCTTTGGAGCAAGTATCATACGCTAAAATAACACGTTTACATTCTTCGACGTGTAAAATTTAACTCGCCGAAAACTCTTCCTAAATCTAACATTCCCACGTTCGACTCAGCCAAACAAAATCGACATCCCTATTTTGTCTTCCATTTGACCTTAAAGATCAATCTCTGAGCCAAAATAGACTGCCACTAAAAAAATAATAGTCTATCATTTAACATTCCTTACCTAGCCATAAAAAATAATTCATTTATGAATTTTATTTCAACTCCATTATATTTAACATAGTAAGAATGGTATTTAAGAATGTGTTTTTTTTGGTGTAAGAAAAATCATGATATGTTTGATTCAGAGATTGTATCGAGATAATTTAAATGTAGGAAAGAAGGTGATTAGCCCTCCCGTTGGCCTTGTGTTATATCTGTACATTACGTACAATAAATATTGCACCAAGTGCAACTCATGTTACGCTTTTCTTCACTCCTGGCCATCGCTCTAGGATAAGAGTGTAGTATCTGTTCTACTTCTTTCTAATGTTAATGGTAATATTAGCCGTTTACATATAAGAAAACATTCAGCATTCATTGACCGGGCAGTCGGTGCGACTGTCAATTTCTCTGGAAAGGAGTTACACGCTATCGTGTACGACAATTTTTATCGCCAGAAATCTAACTTACACATTTATAATTCTACCTTTCCTCCATGCATGGAATAGTATTGTCATACTAGACCTGGTCTTTTTGCGATGCATTTAGTAATTCTTGATAAAATACAAAGAAGGATCTGCAATTTTATAGGTCCTTACCTGGCATCTCAGCATCTGTCACTTCCCCACCGCCGTAAAGTAGCTTTCTCGTGCCTTTACAGTAAATATTGCCATGGTAATTATACTGATGAGTTTTTCCTTTTTGGTTCCTCGACTTTTGAATTTAAGTGGAGTACTAGATTGGCAGCTGGGTCCTATCATCCTGCAATGGAAATGCATATATTTAACCGTAAAGTCTATGCTAACAGCTTAATATCTTGAACTTCTCGCTTGTAGAACTTTTTTCTAGCTTCTTACTTCCTAGTCAACTTTGATCGACAAAAATTCAAATGCAGAATCAAACATCTGTCTCTCTAAACCCTGTTCTTTTATTGTCCTTTCACCTTGATAATGTTTTCTTTTTCTCATATTTTCTCATACTCAGTGTCTTAGGGTATGTATTGCCTTGCTTGATTTAAAAAAAAACTACAACAATAATAGTAGCGGAAAGAGATTGATTTATGTTTTTTTCAAGGCACAGTGCGAAAGTGAGTGCAACTGATTAGGGTCGAATTTAAAGGCGATTCCCTATTTGGATTATTCGAAGCGCTTCTTGTAATGCTACTCGCACCTGATGGAATATATTAGGGTGAGTAATAAATAATTTCCATTTTGTTCATCGACTATATTCCTCCCCAAAATGAAGTACAAAATACAGTTTATTTAGTTTTATATTCAACGTTATTTGCAAAGATTTATCTGATCTTCCATACATTTTTAGCAAAGTTCTGCAGATGTGCAAAAAGTTTTCGGCGATCCCTTGAGTGTGGTTTTCATTAGTGAAAGTTATCCTCCCACCGAACACCAGCAAAGCGTTTTGGAGCAATCCGAAAAGGAAATCATTCTGGGTATGACGATAAACTACCTCCGGCCGCAAAGCCTCTGAGGTTTTGAGGAGCGTGGAACAATCTCTTAATTGTTGTTGTTTCCAAGTCCATTCTGACCAGTGGTGGTAGTATCTGTTAGGGTCCCTGCTATGGGCAAATAGTTAACCCACAAACTGCGGTTAAAACACCATGAAAGTGTAAAAAAAGGATCTTATAAAAATATCACCAATACATTTGTGTAAAAAAATTATTGCCAGCAATAATTTTTTGGAAAAAATATTACCAGCAATACATATAAAAATAAATATTAACAGCAATACATTTAAAATATATTACCAGAAATACATTTTAAATAATAGTGGTAATACATTAAAAAATATTACCAGCAATACATTTAAAAAAATATT